TCTGCACTTACTTATGATGTGGTGTGTCAGATCATGATCTGAGCAACCCTCTGACCCCAAGAGAGATAGAACTAGAGCTCGAACAGTACAGTAGCCACTGACATTTCATATCCATCCACTATGCATCATTTATAAACTTGTCATGTACCTGCCTGACTTTTAACATTCTATAACCACACATGAACATGAACAATTTAGTACAAACACACTTACTTCAAATGAAGGCATTTCATTGAGAGAGTCATGTTGAGAGCCCATGACAGAACCTGTATACAGATGTTATACATCGTGTAAATAGGGCAAATTCAATATAGCCTGTCATCTTTAAGTTGGATCTTTATTCTAACGAATATTTGTTAATTTAATCAACAGTTAATTCATCCGTCACATAATCCGCCGATCTGTTTATGGATGACATAATAATGGAAGCAAATATCCATTTTTTGCTTTTGAAACAGAGGCATGTTTAGTGGTGTGGAAAGCCCAAATGACACCCGGAGCATTACTTGAATCATTTATGACCGCAATGAAATATGGACTTTTTGAAAGAAGAATCACTATGAATAAAAAAAAAATTCGTTGGTTTAGTGCTTGTTGTAAAAAATTCACTAAGCTAATAGAAGATGTGAAGAATGTCTGATGTCTGTCCCAGTCACAGTGTACAGTGAAGTCAGGCGAATCTCCTTACCCATATCTTCCGCTCTCCTGGCGGTTTCTGAGTACCCTGAGCTCTGGAAAGAGAGACTGTTTGCTGTCAGTAAACAGCTGGTGTTTGTCTTATGGATGTAGAAGCTTTGCTCTCTTTGGGGAGGAAATAAACCCACATCTCCTCTTAAACACCTCACCTGAAACAAAAACTTCTCATTAGAACTATGAGCTCAACAGGAATTAGAAATACCCGGAATAAAATGTGCTGCAGAGTTTGTCATGGTTGGTTAGGCTAAGGTGAAATAATAATGCATGTGCATATATATAATAAGATAAAGTAAAGTCTTGTTCATATATATTTCAACATTTATATTTAAAACAGATTTATGATGCACGAGTTGGTGAAACACTGGCACTAAATAAGTCAGCGAATGAAGATTTAGGTGTAGTCGAAACGCTTCTTCAGAACAGCTAGTTTTTCATTGCGCCGTGGCAAACAAACCTGCTTTTCAGCACTCTGTGCAAAACAAATGATGCTGTCATCAGGAGACTGGTTGGGAATTTGATCAGCAAAACATGGCAGAGAGCATGTGGAGCTGCAGGCTGATGATCTGCCAGATGTAACCTGGTTAGAAAGCACCTGAAGGACCCTGATTAAGAGCGTATTACCCAGCGTAGCTGCAAATTAAAACCCAGATTTCAGTAAACATTCACCTGAACGTGTAGGAACATGACAGAATAACGGGATCGTCAAATAAACACTAATAACCTTTTGTGATCTCTATCATTTTTCACATCGGAATTGAAGATGCTGGATAGAGTGGGTGCTTGTCGTCTTTGACCTGAATCATGCGTCAGCCTGGAATTGCCTCCTTTTAATTTGACACAAAAGCAAAATCACACCAAAAAAAGAGGAGGAATATCAAAAAATATTGTTTCTTTTGTGATTGTCAGATGAATTAACACAAAGTGTGTTTTCTGTTTTATTTTACAGATTACTGGATATGATTGTTAAATATAAAGCAATGCCTTAAGGAATATATCTCTTATATATTCCTGATGAGCGTGTGTGTGTACACGGCACTGAGTAAGGCATAAATATCTTTAATTAAATTCACCTAGTGGAAATAGCTCCGCTTCATTATACCCGTGTTGAAACATGACAGGCTTTCAGTGTTGTCAAACCGTTAGTCTGGAGGGAGAGCTGCTGAAACCGGTGTTAAATAAATGCTTTTTCTTAGCTGGAGATGCAGGAGTGTTTTGTGTGGCAAAGAACATGAAAGATGTTTAGGGAAAAGTTTCGGAGTTTAATGAGGACCTGGAATAGAGGTCGGCTGAATTAATCGTTGTGCAGAGAGAGTGCTATTAACACACGCTGAGTAGTGACTGAACGTCTCTCCTGTGACAAATGGGTAATTAAGAATGGTTTTTATACCCCAGATTCTCGCAGTCACACAGCGGACCACAAAGAAATTTTTTTGTACCCGTTCAGGAGTTTGATGAAATGCGGGTTTTAATTATATACTCATTACAGTGACACTGTTTCCGCTTTCTGATAGAAACTCCTTGTCATTGCCAGTTGTGGTGGTCTTACGAGACGCTTTCCTCCCGAGATAGGTAGGGGAAGAGATGGTTCAGGTCTAAACCCATCTTTGCTTTCGGTGTACTATTTTGATATAAAGCCTGGATTATATTTAAACAATATCACATGAGCAAGAGTGCATTTCACAGCCCGTGGCCTCGAGACAACCGCCAAATCACAGCCATGCTAATGTTCTGTTCTTTAAACAAGAAATGAATATCGAATAAATGACATTTCAGACACAATATGGCCAAATATTTTGCTTAATTTTGGTCTGACACCAAAAGTAGTTCCCAAAGCCAGTACTGGATGGAGTGTTGCATGTTGCTATACAATGCATAGACTGACTGACAGCCTATAGTAAGTGTAGTTATGTTTTCAATATATTTATTTATTGCTCAAACATTTGTGCGATACGAACAGTGAAATGGACAAGTATTGTTATGCTAAATATCAGAACTCTTGGCACACCTCTTGTCCAATCATATTAGTGGAGCAGAACTAAGAGATTTATACCACAGTGCGTTGAATTCTTGAATCAGATTGTTAGAATGTGTACATTAAGGAGAAGTTGGGGCTCAGACATTAGTTCTGTCTGTAACACAACATATTAATGTGCTCGTTCAAATATATAATTTTTTCAGCTTATACACAGCACTTGTATGGAGGTTGCACCACATTATCTAAGACTAATTATAAATTGCTTGAAAAATGTGGCTTCGTGTAACAAAGAAAATTGTATAACGATTGTTGTGATTTCATCTTTGAAGTTTTTTGCTAGGAGCCTTTTTTTTCTTTTCTTTTTTTTTTTTTTTTTTTTTTTTTTTAAATTAGTTTGGAAGCAGTCTTGAGTGTCCACACTTTGTAACAGTCACAGTGCTTTGAAAAGTTTCCCAGCATGGGGAAATCTTCAGGACAGAAGAGTTTATGCTTTCTGGTTTCTCAGTAAAATGACAACCTACATTTTTTTTGAGAGAAAGAGGCAAAGAGAGAGAGAGAAAGAGGAGGAAAGAGAGAGGAGGGAAGAGATTCTGGTGAGTGAATGACTGTTTATTGTGGCTATAATGTAAGTGATATCAAGAACTATGTTGTGTTATGGATCTTCCGCAACATAAAATCTTAATTTACACTTAATTTACAATTTAGACTGGGCAGTTACATAAAAATAATCCAAAGAATAATCTGTGTATTATTATTGTATAACATCCTGGTCTGTCAGTTAAGTGAAGAGCTATTGCTTACTTAACTACACATACTTGTATGCAAGTTGTTTGCTGTGGTTGTTTGGAGCATTGCTTGTACATACCCTCAGAAACGAACGCTACGAATATGTGATGCAATACCAATATAAATAGTGGGGGGCGGTATAGCCACATGTGACAGTGTCCACAGCTGACTAAACAAAGTAGCATTGTGTCTCAAATCTCCTCTTTATGTACTCATCATTATTGTGTACGGGAACTAAATGGTGTACTTAATAACAGTAAGTGTTTGAATTTTAAACACCTCTCCATGTAGCTGTCAAAGCTACCAAAAGATCTGTCTTGTGTTTCGGTCTTCTACATGCTCCACGGTAGTAAATACTTTTCAGTTTAAGGTCAGAGCGTTGGATATGTGACGATGATGAAGCTCGTGAGTGACACTTACCTCAGATGATGATCCAGATGCTGTATACTTAAAGTGTGAACTTATTCCCCAATGAAAACTTTAAATTTGGCAGAATTGTTGTTTTTCCAGTAGATTATGTTAGAAATATAGAGGTATCTGTGGCATCTTTCAGTGGATGTTTTCTTCTCTATTAATTTGGAGGTAAACTGCTAGAACTTTACTTCTGGATGAGATACATATAGAAACTCTTCTTCTATAAATATTATTCTATAGTAAAAAATAGCCAAAATGTGACCATGTGAAGAGTTTTCTGAAACAATATAGGATGCACAGAGTACCAGATGGAACTAAAATGCTATTTTCTTTAGCTTAAAAAATTAGTGCAATGTTCAAAAAGCCTTGTTTCTCGTCTTACGAACTGTGTAAAATCTAAGTAGTGTTGTTGATGATGGAAATGTTTAAATTGCACGTACGTGGCCATGGATAGAACTGCTACATGAATTTCATAAATAAGTAACTATAGGTCACCTTGTTATTTCTCGTGTGTGCGTGTGTGTCCAGTATTCCCATTCCAGAAGTTTTGTGTAGTAAACAGTATTAAGCTGAACAGACATGCCTGCGGGGCTCATAGTGTACATGTAGTTTCTAATTTAGAAATACGGGTCTGCTCTGAGGTCACACCCACATGCTGTGATTTAAATGGCTTATTTACTGTCGGAGATTTTCCTCATCCACAGCTTGAATTAATCTCTTAATGTTACTGTCACTGTTGATTTACGAGTGCTCTCAAATGCCCCTTACTTTTTCCTTGACATTTTGTGCTCCTGCTAAGACACCTGGACTAAAGTTGTATAATTTCATACTGTACCTTAAATATCTGCTCACTAGTTGCTGAAGGGTGGCACAGTGGTGCAGCAGGTAACATTGCTGCCTCACAGTCCGCACTTACACACAGAATACTGTCTACGTGGAGTTTCTCCACATGCCCATGTGGGTTTCCTCAGGGTTTCCATGTTCCTTCCATGTTTTAAAAGCATATTAGGTGAATTGTCTACATTAAATTGTCCTTGTGTGTGAATGGGTGTGCATGGTGCTCGCTTTAAATATTCTTATTCTATTTTTTTAAACTTAAAAATGCTTAAATCTGTCTGCAAATAGATTACGCACTGTGGCTTAGTGGTTAGCACATTTACCTCACACCGGCAGGGTTGGAGGTTCGATTCCTGCCGCTGCCCTGCGTGTACGGAGTTTGCATGTTCTCCCTGTGTTTCGGCAGTTTTCTCCGTGTACGCTGGTTTCCTCCCCCAATCCAAAGACATGCGTGGTAGGCTATGTGTATGAATGGGTGTGTGAATGTGTATGCGATTGTGCCCTGTGATGGACTGGCACACTGGGTTGATGCTCCCTGGGATTGACTGCAGGTTCCCCGCAACCCTGTAGGATAAGCAGTATAGAAAATGGATAGATGTGCCAATAGAGCACACAGTATAATCTACATTGTTGAGTTAACATCTACAGTATATATCCGTGTCCAGTTGGACACACATGAACACTGAAAGAGTTAATTCAACACTCTTTGCTAGATATTGCTGTGCAGGATTATTTCAAGATTAAAATGAATCAAAATGTTAAGAGATAGGTTTACTCGTCTTATATTTGCCTTAATTCAATCTTATAATAGGAAATACTAGATAAATTTGACAATATTTAAGATACTTTTACTTGCTAAGTTTCATTTTATGCATTTTGTGCTGGTATTGGATCGGAGCTCTAATACGGGTTTGTAAACCTTAATGCAGACTTTTCAGGTTTTATATGCTTTTTTTTGTTCTTCTGAGGTCAAGGTTTGATTCAACTTTTGCTATTTTATGTGGTAATTCGAAACATTTCTTTCCTACACAAATTGATTTCTCAGAAAGATACGGTTTTGTATCAAAATCTCTTGCTTTGCAAAGGCATGTTCTTGTGCAAAATGGTGAACCTATTAAAACAAAATAAGGTCTGCTTGGAATTTTGGTTTGAGAATACTAATAAGTAGGAGTAGCAGTGAATACCCCTGTTGCTTTTTTGATGCTGTTGCAACACACTCTTCACTTGGATCAATATTTTTTGTGGTTATTTGTGTGTGGGTTTGAGCACAACCAAGACATGCCACTCCTCTCATATTCTACTCTCATGCTCAAGTATGTCTATGTTTTAAGACATACGATAGATGATGGTCCCTTGGAAGAGAAAAAGAGGTGTATCTCAGATGTATCCAAAATTATTTTAAAAGCTTATTTTTATATTTTGCAATTGTATCAAAAGCATTGCAACTTTAGTAATCCATATTTATTAATTGGTGAGCCAAACACTGCTATTTTAAGGCAATTATGCCTAGCATGTATTCATTTCTGTTAAGCTTGGACACTGTGGCTCAACCACTGCTTCTGTTCTATCAACAATGTTATTAAGCTTGAAGCTAGTTATGATGGATCCATTTCTTATCCTTACATTCCTTCTTTCCAAGCCAAGCACACCCTCTACTCCCTCTGTGTCTGTCTCGTGAATACCATTGCTCAGGCAGTGAGGTGTTACAGGCTCATTGTTGCTGACCGTGGTGCTGAAAGGCCTCCTGCATTCACATAGCCTGAGTGTTCATTTCATGGTCCATATAACGTGCTCGCCATTTGTTAGGTGGCTGTTAGCACTGCCGCTTATTTCTTTAACCCATTCCCTGTCGAACCATAACAAATCAGACACACATTGCTTTCAGCGAATGGCTATTGGCTGCCGCTTCTGTTTTTGGTACAACGGCATACCTGGTTTTACAAACATTTTTGCTGTTTTCTCCCCCAAAACCTAGCATGAAATACATTTTACAAGCATCCAACAGACAATCAGTGCTTTGAGATTTATATATTTTATATTTTATTTTATACTTAAGTCATTGTAGGTCTGGGTTTTATTTTATGCTTGGCATGTGGAAGGAATCTTAAACACTGCCCTTATTAAAAAGTGTTTCATTTCAAGGCTGCTCACAAGTGCCAGTATAGAAGCTGAGTGATTGCTGGTTAACTTTTAAGGATATTGTCCTTTTTCCATTTCTTTCTCTGAACACTGCTAGTGTGATCTTGAACACTTAACATGCACTGTGTGACCAAAAGTATGTGGACGTATGAGCATGATCCCCCATATGTGGGTTTCCAGAAACTTTTGTCACACATTGGATTAAGGCACTTAATTGCTTATAATGTAGCATTATGATTTCCCTTCACTGGAACCAAGAGGCCCAGACCTGTTCCAGCATAACAGTGCCCCTGAGCTCAAAGTGAGGTCCATGAAGACATGGTTTGAAAAGGTTGGTATGGAAGAACTCTGCACAGAGCCATGATCTCAACCCCACTGAACACCTTTGGGATTCCTTCCCAGAAGAGTTGAGGATGTCATAACAGTAAATGGAATAAACAACTTCATATTAATGACATGCCTTTGGAATAGAAGGTTCAACAAGCACCTGTGGGTGTCATGGTCAAGTGTCCACGTACTTTTGGCCAGTTAGTGTAACACTAATCAGTTTTTAATTACACAAATCCACAAAACCGTTTATTTGGAACCCTACCTTTGCACTGTAGTCCTTCATGCCATTATGAATTCGTGAGTGGGTGTGCTGAAGGGAGTAAATTTATTTTTCTATCTGCCCACCCCTTCCTTCTCTGAGCTCCCATCCTTCCTTTCAAGATTCCCTTCCTGTCTCTCTCTCAATCACACGCACACACACTCACACTTTACCCATCCCTTCTTTAAGGACTCCCTGTCTGTCTCCTCCTTTTGCATTCCTGTTGTCTCCTTCACACTACCTGTGTGGTTTCTGGCAAGACTTGATAGCAAGAGACACGTACACAAACACTCCTTCACACTCCTTCAATGTTAGCTGTGTAGGGTTTACCATAACAGAGTAAGAAATCCACAGCATAAACTTGGATTGCTTTGGAAAAGTGCTGCAGTAATTAATAGTTATGACAGAGGAGTTTTTCCCCTGGCACTTTTGAACTGCTGCACAGGAGAAAAAAAGGAGGGAGAGAGAATAATATTTGAAAAGACACAGCTCTGGAGAACATTTGTTATAAGCCATTAGATAGAAAGCAGCAATTAATTTGCTGACTGCCCCCAGTTGCTTTTGCATGGGAATAAAGATTGAGAAGGACTTTTTAGCTGCTGAAAAAAACCCCACATAAGCACACACCCTGCATTATCACGCAATGAGCACTGCAAAAGGAAAACTTCATTAGCTATGAGAAACAGTTCCTCTGTTGGTTCTCCTCCATTGCTTTTGGATGCGACTGGAATGGAACATCCCAGGTGACCAGGTAAGGAAACTTTTCCCTGAAAAGTGCCATTATCCAGATGGTGCCATTAATTATGCCGCTACATTTTCCTTTTTATAATTGACTCCATAAGCTAATAGGCAAGTTGGCATCCGGTTGGCCTTGTATGAAACTTGTCCAGATGTTCTGAAGCAGACTGGGGTGAGTGGAGAGTAAAAGAAGGAGGGGGTTGGGGCTATTATGGAAGGGTGTGTTGATGGCCAGGGCGTTGTGCAGATGGATGCTGGAGGTGGGTGTTGGGGGGAAAAAGTCAGATTCTATTAAATCAATGTCTCTATCACTTCAACAGCCTGCTTTGTCTCTCCTCCTTTCCCGACCGTGTAAATTTGTTTTCCCACTACGTCATTCTCCTTTTTACTCTGATAATTCTTTGCTCATTAACTCATCTATGGTTTTTCCTGTTAATACCTTATTCATTTGTTCATGTGTTAGTTAGATTAATTGGTTGATTATTTATTTAAGACGTTTCAGATATAGAAAGGTTACAAATTAATGGAAAAAAGCATCATACAGTGTTTTTTTTAGTATGGTGTTGCTTTATAAGTCACCAGAACAACTTCATTAAGCCGTAACATAGTCTCTGTCCTGGAGGGATGACCATCGTTCTTCCAAAAGATATTCCCTCGGATTGTTTTGACGATGCTGGTGGAAAGTGCTGTCTAGCACTTCCATGCACCGTCTCTCATTGGTGTTTGATTGGGTTGACATCTGGTGACTGTGAAGGTGATAGCGTATGATTTACATAATTTTCATACTCATCAAATCATTCAGTGAGCCCTTGTATCCTGTGGATAGGGACATTCTCATCCTAGAAGAGAGCACTCCCATCAGGAAAGAAATCTTTCATCATAGGATAAAGGTGATAAGTCAGAATAACTTTGTATTGATTTGCAGTGATGCTTCTCTCTGAGGGGACAAGTTGACTCAAATCCTGTCTGCAATGTCCCCCCATGGTATAACAAAGCCACCTGCCCCCCCAGCTACCCATCTGTAACTAAACTTAAGGATCTAAATGAATTCAATATCCAAATCATGCTACAATACAACAAAAGGAATTTCTATATAGGATTTTAGGATTATCTTGAACGTGCTGCAGATATATCAATGAAGCTCAGTTACATTTTGAAGGGCGTTGACTCATGTCCTATACCTCTGCCTGTAAACAGTATCAGACGCTTTCCTGGCCACTGATCTAGCAGTGTATTCCCAGAAGCTGGTATTTTTGCTAAAGGGTTCAGCTTTCTCTTGTCTTCGGTATCCCTCAGATCAGAATTAGAATCTCTTTATAGCCTAAAATGAACAAAAACGCTATTGATTATTCAATAGGCTGGCTGGCCAGAAAGCCAAGAGGCAATGTGCTGCTTCCATTTGTTATTAGTAAACAGATCAATGGTTGAGGCAGAGGCATGGCCAAACTAGGACCTTTAGTGACTATTTTGCTCTGAAATAAGAGAGTGAAAGCAATCTCACAAGTCCTTTCTCATTGGTTTTGCAAGGTGCAGAATGGTGTTCATTTAGAGGAGAAGTTTTAGTTTGCTTTGCAAGGGCCATAGTTATCCATCATTCTGATACAGAATCATTTGGCCTCATGCCTTTACTCAATACAGGTTGTAAAAAGCTGAACAGATAATAGCTCATTTATTCTCGAAACATTTACACATTATTACACGTTCTGATATTTTTCACTGAATAATGTTTTCTCATCATTGGTGCCTAATAAACTTAAGCGATTGATTAAAGCTGAAACTGATCTTTTGGATAATATACTGTAAAACTAACCATTCTATGCTTTTCCATTCTGCCACATTTTTCCATTCTGCCACATTCCACACTGTTTGTGGCTCCAACTCTTCTGTGATCTTCACTAA